TAAAATCATCTAAAGGCTGGCTAACAGCTAAAATCATCTAAAGGCTGGCTAACAGCTAAAATCATCTAAAGGCTGGCTAACATGTAGAAAAACACCAAGAGCTAAACTAAAGATATGGCTTGCTAAAATTATAAGGTTGGCTCAAAGTATCAAAAGTCTAGCTAAAAGTATCAAGTCTTGCTTAAAGTTTCAAAAAACTAGCTAAAAGTATCAAAAATCTAGCTAAAAGTATCATAAGTCTCACTAAAAGTATCAAAGTATCAATAGTCTAGCTAAAATTTTCAGAAGGCTAGCTAAAATTTTGATACCTTTAGGAAGCTAAAAGTATGKAATGGCTAGCTAAACGTGTCTGGCTAAACAGGAAAACAACAGTGTGAATGGTGGATCAGAATTCCCAGCATTCCATGATTCAGTACATGTATATATTAGTACAAACTGAAGGGAAATAGCTCCTGTGTACGATGATGTTGACACCTCCAGCAGGGTTTATTATATCACCTTGTTACCACAAGCTGCAGATTTATGACCCAGCTAACAGATGGTGTTTCTGCTCGTGCAGCCAGAATTGTTTAAAGCTGGTTTATAGCTTTAAAAATAAAGGTAGAATGCTGCTCATAAAGAATGTTCCCATACGATCTGAACCTTGGTGAACTCTGCRAGTTCAGCTTGAATTTCAGCCGGTTCCAATTGTCATTCTTTTCTCACAAGGGCAAACACTCATTTTTACATTTCTCTGCACACATGTTCTCATTTCCACTCGCTCTGACGCTCACTCAGTGAGCAGGTCTGACTGTTTTCTGCAGTCTTTGTGCCTGGAGGACCTCCTGCATAAGGCAGTAAATGTTAATTCAGTTCTCAGGATTTAATTAAAAAACGTGATGAAGTTAAGATAAATAAACAATAATAAGAAGAGCAGATTACAGCTTCTTTATCTTGAGATTTTTCAGCTTTGATGTCACTAATAGTCTTTTAGAAAAGTGATGGTTGAAGGTCTGAGCTAGTTGCACCTTTTTAAATATTTGTCATGCTCTCACATCCTGTTTGTCTCTGTTTACCATCAGGCTGTAGGTGGTTTCAGAAGCCTGAGGACCGGTCTGTGGACCAATCGCAGCCACGATGAGTAAGTCCTCTCATTTTCTGATGTTAACCAGACATTTGTGTGTAGCTTCATCAAAGCAGAAGATAAAAACAGACGTTCTGAGAAGCATTGCTCCAGTCAAAGCTCGAGCAGTCTGCTGCTCCAGACCCGGTCAAGTGAAGGATTGGGTTCTGGTTCCTTCAGCTTCCCCGGGGCTGTGTGATGTTTGTCCAAACTACACAAGAAGAATATTTTCTCTTTGTGATAGAGCTCAGCCGAGGCGGAGCCTGTCCTGAGATCAAACYTGGGAACATATCGAGAACCTTTATCTCTGATTCTGTCATAGCATGAAGTGCTACATGCAGATAGAAATATGTCTTTGATTTGTCTTCCAGCCTGCTCTGACGCTGTGTTTTGTCAACATTATGTTTTCTGCAGACGAGCGGCAGGCTCTCCACTCTATAATGAAGGACCTGGTTGCCCTCCAGATGACGCGGCGCCAGCCGGTGTTTTCTTACGACACAGGCAAACCAAAGGCAGCGATGCAGACCAACAGACAGGTGCGACAATATTTAAATATTTACTTTTTAGTTTTAGTTTACTGTGTATAGTTTTGTTTTTATGAATGATTGAAATAAATTGGAAAAAATATTAGAAAAGTTTCTGTGAAAATATGGTGTAAATCCCACGTAAGAGTCTCTGCAGTACGTAGGGAGAGTTTCTTTTTGTTTGGGTGAAGTTTGTTAAAAAATGTGACTGGCAGTTCGTGGTGTGGGTGGAGTTTGTCCAAACTGTGATTGACAGAATCGTTAGTGTGGGCGGAGTTTGTCCAAGCTGTGATTGGTGTAGTCCTTTGTGTGGGCGGAGTTTGTCTAAACTGATTGGCTGAATTCTTGGTGTGGGCGGGGTTTGTCCAAACTGTGATTGGCAGAGTCCTCCTTGTGGGCGGAGTTTGTACTAGCTGTGATTGGTTACATTGACTTATCTTGTGTTAAAAGAGGAGGTAATGTAACAGGAAATTTATTGTGAACATGTAAATTTGATTTATTGACTTAGAATTTTGTGCTACTAGCACCATCCTGTCTCAAGTTCTGGCTAAAATTAATATTAATATTTTAAATTATTGGTGCTTTCTGGCCATGTCCAAACGAGTCGTTACGACTTCTTCAAACCTCATGTAAAAATGTCAATCTAAGCAATCTTTAACAAACTACGCCCACCCACCAAGAACTCCCACTGCAAAGACCCCCTTCTCTTAAACCCTTAAAGACCAGTAAAGAAGCTAAAACTGACTTTGTGGCCTCTTATGGCTCCAGTGGGTTTGCTGGAAATCAAACATCTTGATGGACTCTAATTATTAAGGTTTTGATTCAGCGTTATTATTTTAGGGGTTTTGTGAGAATCAGGAAGAAAAGCAACAAAAGATCCGTGACTGGAATTGTTAAAGCTGCCAGTAACGATCAGAATCCTGAATCTGATGCCAGATTGTAATTGTACATAAATGTTTCTGTGGAGGGGAAAAAAACTGAACTGATGAGTTACAGAGCAGCTTGTAGATGCTGTTTGTTACCTTTGGATCAAACCGAGCCAGATCATCACTCTGCTTCCAGTCTGATTTAAAGGAGACATATCATGCTAAATGCACTTTTTTTGTATTTATAAACTATTTTTTGTGCAATTATAGTGTCTAGGAGTGTAGAAAACTTTAATTTATTCTGTCCAGTTACTGCAAAGATATTTTATATTATTTTATGGGTCAAATTTTTCAGTTTGTTCAAAATCTGCTGTTGCTTATTACGTTTCATTGCTTATTTCGTCACACTTTTTTCTTCAGAACATTTATGGTAATGTATTTCCTGCCAACTGGATTTCATAGTCCACCATTTTTTTTCCTCGCTGTGTGGTTTTGTAGTCCATAGCGTCATGCCGAATATGCAAGTCCAGAAGTCAA